GGCGTGGCATCGATTTGCCTGAGAGTCTCAAGGTCGCTACATGTTGTAAGGCTGAAAACATCTTAAAATTTTAATCAGAGTTTTCTCTTCAACTTAATATGTTTCGTGACACTCTACGGCAGTCAGTTTAGAAATTGTAGGCAAAACAAAATAATGAAAAACCGTTACCGAATTCTGTTACGGTAGTATAGTTAGCTAGCCACGCCGTATATCTCTAAACCTAACAGTCAGGCCTTATTTTTCATATAGATGAAAATGACAAGTCGTCCCCACGTAACGTTGATTTTATATACTAGCAGATAAAAACAGATTATTAAGAGCAAAAAAGGTTTTTTAAAACTTTCAGCTGGTTTCGTTGAAAATTTTAATTTTTAAAGGTCAAGTTGGAGTTTTGTAAAACTCAAATTTCAAGAATAGAATCAATTTAACCCCTTTGGAGTCAAAAAATGCTATGATCATGTCATTGAAAGTCAGAATAATTCGAATAAACAGTGTAAATTGATGAGTCATGCTTTCGGTAGAAATAAAATGTTCGAAATACCTGTTCTTCAAGATTATAATTACGAGTTTGCTTCTGATGGTGCTAAAACGGCTGAAATTTTGGATAAACATTTCGCTTCTATTTGTACTATGAATAAAATACAGTCCACCAACTACCCTTTCTATTTCTAAGACAAGATTCGACAAATTCGGGAATTATTTATAGGAAATGCTCGGCGATTTTTAAAAAGTCCATATTTAAAATCCTCACGGATTTTTCAGATTACAGAAAATCGAATTTTCAAGAAAGTTGGAAAATCCTCAGGGATTTTATACATGGACTTTTCGAAAATCAAAAAGTTGGATTATTTTCTAGCTGATGAGAAAGAACAATTTGAGTGAGAATGCTGATAACCAGAGACTTGCAAAGTGAAAATGACTGAAGATAAACTTTTTCACCAGTATTAAAAACTATTGAACTTCGAAGTTGAGTGGGGTGTATTATTTCAGCTTATTGGATGACAATATGGATCTTTTAATAATGAAAACCAAATTCGACATCGATCATGTATTGAATGACTGTTATTTTAGTTAACAAATAATAAAATAAATGTGAATTGTTAGGATTATGTCTTTGAGTTAATAGAACCAAAAAGTCATCGAAAAAGTCATCGTCTTCTTAGAAAATCGAATTCGATTTTCCAACTGTCGAATTGCAAGAATGTTGGAATTTATTTATAGAAAATCGATCGAGTTTCTAATAATTAGAAAATCGCTGTCGACTTTCCAACTTTTTAGAAATTCCTTATCGATTTTGCTGGCAAATGTGAAAAGTCAGTTTATAGAAAATCCGTTCGATTTTTCTATAAAGTAGAAAAACAATATTTTCTAAACAGTCAGTAAATCACTGAGGATTTTATGAACGTTGGAAAATCCTTGGCGATTTTGCAGATCGATTTTCTATAAACTAGAAAATAATTCAAATTACAGTGTAGAAGTTGAGCCGGTTTACACTGAAAATATTCTTTTCAAGTTAGATCAAAATAAAGCATTTAGCTTAACTGTAACTGCTCGTATGGTTAAAGAAGGATCTATTGTTTTGAGTAAATGCTTAGCACATGTTTGTAACCAATCTTTTGACGAATCTTTATTTTTCATCTGCTTTAAATGATGGTCATATAAATACTTCATCTAACGATGACGACCATTGAATACCTAATCATTATCGCCCTGTTTGCATTTCATCGGTTTTTTCGGCGTCATGACCAAAATGCATCTGCGTTTTTTTCTCCATGGAAAGAAAAGTACCTTTCCCACCCCTACATATTTAGATGTTTGAAAATGTACTCCCACAATAACTAAATATCTAACCAGCCCATAATATATGAACTTGCATAAACTGTAAATGTTTGAGTATCAAATAGTAAGGTTTTGCTTTTTGCGTTTAACAAGGCAAAACGATGCAGCTGCAAAATTTATCAGATACAAGTAAGCACTTAGTGACGATGAACAGAAAAAACTCCGGTCTAGTTGTTTCATGACACAGATCGATCTTTATGGCCGAATAGAGTCAGTGTTGAGATGGTATTTCAATAGATTTGTGAAGAGAACAATTGACGGACATGGAAAGCAAAAGCAAACAAGAAAGAAAAAGCACATAGCACGGCAAGATTATATTCTATGACGTTTATTTGCTTGTGTTGGACTGCAAACCACACAAAGTCAATTGGTATTTCAGATCAGATTTATCTACAATTCATTCACTCCTGACCAAACCATCGTCGATTGCCCGATCGTATACGCACGATTGACGCATCGAACTCTTTCTTGTACATCTCAGAAGGTAGAACAAAGATAATAAAGGTGAGAAGAGACGGAATGAACGAGATGAAATAGCCAACGAGAAAGAGCCAAGGATCTCTTCCTGACTTCATACAACCAGAGACAAAGGAGATGACGAGGCGAGGAATACTGAGGAGAACGAGAACAATGGGACTGACGAGAAGATGTTTATGCTGGTGGAATTGTTCTTGCAAATGGTTTTTGTACAATTTCTTCTTCTGCGCTGTCGAACGATTACGCGCGACAGCGACGATGATGTAAAGGGCTGAAATGATGTTGATCAAGAAGGGAGCGAGAAAGTGAACCATGTTAACTGCTGCATTGTAGAAATTAAGTGAAGTTGAATAGCGAACCAGACACCAGGTACGTTCCTCTTCGTTGTCGTCGGCCAGTTCTCGGTAGATGGGATCATGGAGAACACTCGCGAACGTCATTGCTATAATTCCCAAAATAGTCCACCGAGCTACTCGTTTGCTCTTCTCCTTGTCGAAAGTGACACCTTTCGTGACTGTGAATGCACGTTCGATCGCCACTGCTGCTGTCAGCCAATCGCCGATCGCCGGTAAAGAGCGAAGAAGGAAGTCGACTGAGACACAGTTGATGTGCAATGACTGTCGATGAGTGGTGAGTGCCATTTGTAAAAGAAGGAGAAAGAAGAACTTGTAAGCAAAGACCAACATAGTGAGAATCGACATGATCGAACAGACCAATAAGTAGATGCCACAACCCACTTCACGAGAATTGCGACTTTGAAAGGTCATCGTGGAGAGAATGCCACTTACGAGTCCGACGAAGAGCATTAGAGAGGTCAAAGTAATACTCGCTTTCACCGAAGCCCGTTGTCTATTGACTAGTATATTCCGACGGATCTGATAGCCGAGAATGGCATCGAGTGAGAGGCCAAAGCCTTTGGTGGTAAACTGACATCGTGTGCCGTAGTAACATTCTGGACAGATGCATATCACGGACATGGGGCAGAGGCGATCTTGGTAACATTTGGCTCCATTTTCACATGTGTTCAGGACTCGACATTCGTATGTTCTGTTAAAATTGTACGGAAAACAATTGGCATTTCGATCTTGATCACAGATGCACATGAGCGAGGCTTCGTCATCGCGAAAGCAAGCGAGATTCACTTGCTTACTACATGGGACATGGAAGTATTTCACTCGACGCAAAAGTGGAAACCTGGCTGTCCGAATATCGAACAGTTCCCCGATATGAGGACAGCGGCGAGCACCTTCGATCTGCCCGGATACTGGACCATTAGGAATGTGCACTTCATGCACAAAAACTGAATAATACTCAGCATCGATCTGAGCAAAGATCAGATGAAATGGTCCATCCATATACACTATCACTCCGTCACGATCCGAAGGAATCTTCCGTGCGACGGTTGTAAGTTGTGGGTCGTCTTTCTCGCGAACAGTAATTAAATGAGTGAGAAGTGATGGGGGAATACTCATACCACCAGCGATGTTGATTTCGATCCGAGAATTGATCGTCGCACAGATTGGGCCAGAGAATCCCTCCTGGCAGATGCAATGATATTGATCTTCAAATAGTTGATCGTCATGTGGAATACAAAGAGCTCCGTTCTTGCATGGATTGGAATGACAAGTTGAGTTTAGGAAACAACGAGAACCACGTTTGTGCAGTGAACAGAGGCACGCTGAGGGACCAAGGCAGAGGGAGTCTGATGAGCAACTGCAATTGTAAGGCACGGAACATTGAAGGCCCGTCCATCCTGCCTCACAGCGACAGAAGTGCTCATCAATGTTCGTGGCCCGAGTGCAGTAGCCGTGAACGCCGCAATTAAGTGAATATTGCTTCGATTGTTGATCAGAAGACAATGGTATAGCCAATCGAACAGCTATCCGATTGAAGGGAAGAAATAGAAAAGAACCGTGTAAAATCCAACTAGCGTGGTACGTCAAATCCGTCTTCTTGTAAGCATCGACTCGTACATGATACTTCTTCGACACATTCTTTGGTCGACTATTGTACAGAAGATAAATATTTATTTTGTCTGAGCAAATGCGTGTTGGCACGTACATTCTTTGTTCTTGAGAATGAATTTGATTCCCCTCATCCAAGAGAGTGGTCACTATGCCAAAAACGCCCCGGCAACTGGGATCACAGGTTTGTTGGAACTGTATCGTCAAGCTGACCCGCTGACTCTGCTTCTGACATCGATCACCGTAATAGCTCGGTGGACAAAGACATGTCTCTGTCTTGTTTAGACCCACAAACATCACCACTCCTCGATTACACATCCATGAGTGTCGAAAGTAGGATGATATCTCTGGATCTTCCTTCGCCTTATCATTCTCGCTGTATATACTGCGAGGCGCCAATGAATCAGTTAATGCATTATTTATGGGCTTGATTGAACGTCGTAGTTGAAAGTGATTATAGATAGGGGTCTGTATAGATCGATCCGTTATTCTGTCGAGTATTGGAGCGATCCTTCTATCTTGGTCACAGGCAGTACGAATATCGTTATCTGATGGACATCGTCTCTTTAGTGAATTACATATAAACATGACTTCTACGCATTCCGAGCTATTGCGACATCGATATCGTCTAGCAAATTCTTCTTGTTCTGCCTCTCTTTTACAATATTCACGTTCATCAGATGCGCCGAGACAGTCAACACTTCCATCATTTACTTGGTGTCAAGACAAGCAAATGACAGTGTGATTCAAAACTGACACACACGGATGTTGATCAAATTGACACCATGGGTCGCTGCAATATCGTTCATCGGTGCCATTTGGACAATGCCAAGCCCCATCACAGCGCGTATATGCTGTATCACAGGGCCACTGCTCACAATTGGTTTCTTCTGTTTCTTCTTTTCCATCGATCAACATTGCCCATGTATGTCCATGATATCCGTTACATATATGCGGAAATGAAACCTCTGCACGTTGATAAAAGCGAAAATCTTCGTCTTCAACTTTAGCACATTGAGCCACTCCGTCAGCTATGGCTCTCGGCGAGAGACACTTGTTTTCTGAAGTACATTGGAATCGAAAACGCTCATTCAATGCACACGATTCATTGAACAACTCGTCGGCGCCTCCAAAGCAATCGACCTGTCCATCGACAAGACGATGCTTCGAAATACACTTTGTTGTACCAGGACATCGGAAAAGCGAGGAATGGCGACAGTGTGTCTCGTTCCCGGTAGGATCCATAGGCACGGATGAACGAGACAAGTTGACGATATCTAATATATCTTTCATGTTGAGCCATGATATGTTCGCACAAGTAAGATTATCAATCAATTCAATAGTCTGCAAGAAAGGAACTCGCACACGAGCGAAACAGATGTTATCTGGTACAAGTGCTGTTGGTTCACCTTTCTCAAATAGGTAAACAGTTCTGTTCGTTGAGTAGACGAGCCGTATGTGGCTATCGTACACTGGTTGACGAGGAAAGAGAACAGTCTCCGTAAAGCATTTGCGATTTAGTTGCATTTCACATCCATTCTTGTTTTTCTCTTCGCAGAAAATCTTACACTCAACCTTCATAGTTTGCAAAACACATGACAAAAGAAACCAACAGTCATACGTTAAGTGTGCGTTCTCTTCGTACGAATATAAGCTTCGTGTCATAGCAGTATTTCGCTTATTGTTGCATGGAATTTCTTGCTTACCCAGTTTAAAATGAAGAAAAGATCGCTGTCCATCGCCGCACGCGATATACTTCCAGAAAAATTCATGGTCCGCTTCTTCACATCGAAAGGCTGGATCTTTATAGCAATCATTGAAAATGACGCTAGGGTTTGCATCTATCAATCCAAGAAAATTCTCATCGGAACTGTCGACACAATTCGGATCATAAAGATTGTCCCTAAAGAACTCCTCGGGTACACATTGACCATTGTGACATCGATATTCGTGCTCCAAACATTCATTGGTCTCCAGCTGGAAACAGCCGAACTGGTCTGCACCATTTTTATTACAGTCGACTTTTCCATCACATACTTCGCGCCAATCCAGACAAGTTAACTGACCTGCTCCTCGATCACATGTTAAATGCATGTAACACGTAAGATTGGTGAATTCTAATACGTCAAATATCTCAGAGTTCCACCAGAACTCCGGGGCTTTCCATTCAAACGCCCTTTTGACGAAGTCGTCAAATAAATTTTTGCTGTTCTCGAATGTATACTGGCAGTACAGGCCAAACCAATACGGATTGCAAACGAAAACACGTTCAGTGGAGAAGACGGATGTATTTGGTGTCTCCAGATATTCTTGATAACGCTCAATGAGATCAACTGGCACTGACCACAACGAAAGAACACTTGCATTAACATGTTCTTCATCTCTCAGCTGCTCGAATGTGTACACTTGAAAAACACTTCCATTCATCTGTTTCCTAACCTCATTTTTGATCTCGTCTGTCGGACGTATACAGTAGTGAAGAAGCTGAGCGGAATGTTGAACAGCACGTGGGCCGATCTTAGTGCCATACGATGTATGGTACAATAAGCAGTCGTAGTACAATACATTGTCACTCATCCGATTGCCCGTATTATACAATTCAAACGCAGCATCGATCTCAATCAGTCGAGTCTGGAGGAACATCAATCCGAAGAGCAGACGATAGCAATAAAAGATCATTCTCGCATCTCTCTAAACCGTTGACTGAGTATTTAAGTGATGGGTTCAATTCTCTCTTTCACGTTCTCGGAAAATAGAAATACAAAAATGAACGTGACGATTCTTTCAGCGATAACAAATATTGATAGTCATGACATGATCAAGCGAGACCGTTGTTCTGAAAGAACGTGTTGTTGATGCACATTTGTGTCCATTTCTCATTGGTAACATTCAAAGTAAAAAAAGAGGAAAAGGAGTTTTTCTTGTAGTGACAAGCGATAGAAGAAAAGAGAAATAAGATCCTTTTGACAAACTGATGAAAGAAGCAGTTATATTTGAACCTAATGATGTTTCATTTTGTGTATCACAGATTTCATTTTCTTCTTCAGAAACTAGAAGTAAAAAATAAAAATATTTTTAGTTGAATGAACAAAACAAAATATACGAAGTATCTATTGAAATGTGAAATAACTATTCAACGAAAATTATAAATCTAGCTGACCTTGATCGTCACACCATGACAATTTGGGACATGTGTGATCTGAACGAATTCTTTTCTAGATGGTAACCATTCTTCATCATGTTGATCATCAGAACTACAATCAAGATCGAAGTCCATCTTCTACAAACAAATGTAGTTTAGATTTATAAACTTATTCATAA